CCTACCAACTGAAAATGTTTAATGTGTCCCGCGCGTTCATATGATCTTATGCTGTTGCGCGAGCGCCGTAAAACACTTACCCAGCAAAAAACAAATCTAGATAATTATATGCCATTGCATGCATGTTTTTGCGTGGCTTTTAAGTTTCAGATTTAAAGAAAACAGAATCCAAACATTTGCATCAATAAGGAATTTATGTGTTTAGTTGTTGTTGTTGTTGTTTTTGTTGTTGTTATTGTTGCTGTTGCTGTTGTTGTTGTTGCTGTTGTTTAAGTTCCCGACAACATCTCGTCTTCAAGTGTTGTCGAATGACCAGAAAGAGCATCTTCTGGGAATTGACAGTTTGGTTGTTTTTTCTCCACAGACCATTTGTAATACAACATATTAAGTTTGAGCTGATTTCGCCTGTGGCATGAGTCCTACGACCAGGTCGCTAAATACAGGTATACTAGTATTATATCGATTGAAGCAAGTTCAAGGAAAGGAACAACGACCTCTGTGCTGTTGCATAACCTTGTATAGTTTCTTGTGATAAACATCCAGCTCTGTTACAATTTTTTCCTTTTCATTTCGAGACAAGTCTTGACAAGACCTCCTCGTTGACTGTAGTTTGCTACCATCTATTTCTATATCGTCCTACGGACAAGCAGTTCAATTGCTCTAACCTAAGAAAGTAAAACTTTTCAGGAAAAAATCAAATTGTTTAATAATTTCAACAATTATTATACATGTATAATATAGTATTTTGTTGTGGGTTTTTTTAATCATTTTTAATTATTTCGCCGTCATAGTACCAATCTAGAAGAAAAAAGGCAGTAAGAGAGATTGTGGAATGTATAGAGGCATTTCACTGCTAAGCCATGTGGGCAAGATGTTCGCCAAGATATTGGAATGGCGAACAAGGCACAAAGTTGAACCATTTCTGAGTGAGGCTCAAATGGAATTTAGAAAGGGAAGAGGATGCACCGACGCAATATTCGCCCTACGACAAATGTGTGAAAGGGTAATAGAACACAACAGGGAACTAAATATAGTATTTATCGACCAGGAGAAAGCGTTCGACAGAGTGAACAGAAACAAACTGTGGCAAGAACTCGAAAACTACCCTGTAAGAGGCCAACTTCTAGATAACATCCGTGCCATTTACGAGAACAGCATACATACAGTTCGAGATAACATCTGGACTAAGACAAAGTTGTGTCCTATCACCACTACTATTTATCATATATATGGATAGAATTACAAAAGAGGCCAACACAGTTAGTCGGGCATGGAGATCTTTGATTTTTCTAGGATTTACTTTGGTTTTGGAAATTTGATTTTTGTTTTCTATTCTGTGATTTGTTTGTTCATTTTTATTTTGTGTATGTATTTATTTACCTATTTTTAATTCGTTTTTCTTTCTTTCTTTTTCCTGGAGAGGGAGGGTGGGGTGATAGGATACAATACTATGTTACTATTATACGCCGAAGGACTGTACTAGTCAGTTTCACCGCACACATACACCTTTATCGAGTGACCGTTACTGAATGTCCGCAGCTATAAGTAAGCGTGGACAGTTTTTCCTCGTAATATCCTTATGATTTATTCATACGCCACCACTCTGCCATATTGTTCTGCCTAGAAGCGCATGGGTCCATTGATTGGAGGTGAAATGAAATCAGCATGCGAGCTTGCAAAATACGGATGGAGACGGGGGATGGTAGGCTAGGTGCGAAGTGTCCGCCTCCTGGATCAACTGGTTTGTTTTCATGCAAATCGTCATGATTTCCCGGTTCATCTGGTTATCTTGTGACAAACGTTGTGGTCAAAGTAGGGTTTTACTTTTACGCCCATGTAAAACCTGTTTTTAAAGCTACATTTCCACTTGTGGGTGCGCACAGTTTGCGAGCTTCTGCCTGGGCTTCAGCGTTTCTAATTATTATCTGTAAAGCTTCTTCTCTGTCACAAATGGTTTCTTTGGCCGTTTCTTTAATGTTTACTTCTTTTATTACTCTAAAGGAAATACTCTCCTCTGCAGAAGCTTACTGTTGTCTGCTTTTTATTTAGAAAAATGGATGGATGGAAGATAGATAGATAAAAAGATAGATAGATAGATAGATAGATAGATAGATAGATAGATAGATAGATAGATAGA